GCCCCGGTCAGCGCACGGCCGCGCTGCGTGCCATTTTTCACCCGAGTTCGCAGATCTCTAATGACTACCAACCCCCGACGCTATGATTTTATTTCAGACGCGTGAGGTACTGCAGATTTCAGGCACATTCAGGCGAAATAGAGCCAGCTGAACAGTGGATGCAACACAAGTGTCTCAGCACTGACTAGAAGTTCTTTGCCAACATTTGCCCTTTGCAGGTGCCAGAGCCTAAGAGGTGCATGGCACCTGTCCGGTCAGGCCACACGAACCCCACACCTGAACTGCCAACACTGAAACACATTTCTTAACAAGCTGCTGACATACAGGTACTGCATGCAAACACACTACAGTTCCTCAAAGAATTTCAGCAAACTATTAAAAAAAAACCCAGCCAAGCCCACCTGCCTTCCTCGGAGTTCTTACAAGTACACAAAAGGCCTATATTCACTGAATAAATTATGCATCACAAGTTCTTCATCCAGCCCCTCTTGGTATCTCCAGAGTGAGCGCTGGTACTTACAGAGCCATTGCTGCAGCCTGGTGCTGCCAGTGTGGGCACTAAGCAGTTAAGAAATGGATGTTTCTGCCAAGAAAATAATTTTAACCGTTTGTAAATTACAGAAAAAGAAGGGAAAATTGCACTGTTTCGTTGGTTTTATATGTAAGTAAATGAAGGATTTATGTGCAGACTGAAGTTTTATTTCCCTCTGCTCCAAGCTGAATTCAAGCTCGGGGTACTCAACTCTACAGCATTACCCAAGGGAGAGCACTGCAGGAACCTCTTCTCAGGAGCAGCAAGACAAGGTGGATTTGAGCAGCAGGGTTTGGCAGGAACCAGCAGCCTCGTGGCCAATGCTCCATGAAGCAAGACTGACTGGTACAGATGAGGGACAATTTTGGTCAATCAGGTAGGTTGCAGATCTGTAAGAAGTCGTGCCCCTGGCATTTCTGTTATGGATTTACACTTCATTTGGAAGCAGTATAGTTTATCTGGATAATTAGCTGCCTCTAACCATACGATATGCATTTTAAAATACCCCCGAACATGGATTTACATAATAAAGCATAACCTCCCAACAAGCTAGCATCATCCTTTATGACAGTTCTGGTACCTCTTTCAAAGTCTTTCTCTGTTTTGATACATTTTAACACAAACTTATGGGGCGGGGGGGAAATACAAATGAGGGGAAACGGTGTTTCAGTAATGTCACAAAGTGACAAAAAACAAGAGCTTTTCCTGTTGAGGTTCATTCCCTACCACTCTTCTCCCAAATTAGTTGTCAAAAGCCATATGCAATACTCCAAACACTGAGGACGTTTTTCAAACACAGACTTCTCCTGAACTCCAAACTTCCTTTAATCACAACCTGTGTCTCACTTAAGTAATCCTTTCTGAGTTAATTTATTACTCTTGAAGGAGTTACATTTTTAATAAGCTAAAAGAGGAAAGGGGGAAAACTCTGATAATCTTTTCTCATGCATAAGGAAGACCATTTCATGTATTTTTTAATTGTCATGTGGATTAAATTGCAGTGCTATATATAACCTTCCTACTCTAGCCTGTAAAGTTGTACAATTTTTTGGTGCTGGGGAAGAAGTGTGATATCCAGCTCAGATGTTTCTGGCTTTTTTTTCTGAAACCTTTTGTTTAGTAGAGTTTGGGGGCTTTTGTTTGGTTTTTTGAGGATTTTTTTTGGGGGGGGGAAGAGGGGAATTTCTGGTTTTTGTTTTGTTTTTGGATACAAATCTGTTTTATCGTGCATCCTGTCCTCAGCCTGGGAGCTGAGGAGGACTGTTATGTTCAGGAGTCTATTGGTGGGTTAGCTACAACTGTCTCATGATGGAGTCCTAAGAAAGCAATTCCAGATTATCCTTTTCACCATAATCTGTGCTTTCATGGGAGAGATAGAAAGCTGAAAATCACAGGCTCTGATTTTTGTTCAGAAACCATTCCTATTTCCTTTTTCGCAGGAATGCAGCTAGAGCAGTATGTTGTGACATGGAAACATGGGAGCTGCCCTGCCTTTGTAAATATTGATGTTGTTCTGAAAGAAAGTTTCAAAAAGAGAGAAACAAACTAAAATTCACATTCAGTTCTTATTCATTCTGTTACTGACTCTAGTGTGCATCTACAAATTGACCACTGTAAACCTACTCAGATCCATCAAGTATTATAAGCATTGTACCAGAAATAGAAAAAGGAGGTGAAGCAAGCCCTTGGGGAATCCAGTGGTTCATTAGACTGCAAGCTGGGGTTTTGGGGTTTTTTTCCTAATATAATTACTCTTTCCTTTCTTGTGCTCTTTTCCTAGGCCTCTTAAAGCTCATGGATCCACTGTCAGGGCTAGACTCTGATCCTGTTGCTGTGTTTGGGTTCCCCTCTGTTGGGGCTGAGAGCTCTAAACCGGACATGCTGCAACTCTGGTTCTCCTCTGGGTGGTCCATGTGGCACACATCCTGAGCAGGCTAACCTTGGGATGTGGGCTTTTGTTACAGAAGAATTGTGGATGGGGACTGGAAAAGTACCTGCCTCTGCTCCCCTCCCTTTCTCATGAGGAAATCTCCTGCCTTGAAATGGAAATGGTAGGTTTTCATTCAGGACCATGTCCTTTTACCTGCCTACAGCTCTGTGCTGCACCCCTTGATGAAAATGGAGATAGTGTCTCAGCTGTTTTCCACTCTCAGGAAGAAACACACTTCTGCACAGCCTTTCTTCTAGCACCAGTCCTGTGGGCACTCTGTACGGTCCTTTCCTTCTTAGATGAGGTTAAACTAAAAAAGAGATGCAGAAATTTTCTCAAAATTCCCAAACCAAATTCTTTTTTACTTCATTGGTGCAAGAAAAACGTGGAAATGTCTTGTACACATTCCACAGCCATAACAGCACACCTGCATGCACCCCATTGCCTGCAATCCCTCATAACTATTTAACATGCTTTGAGCTACAAATTATTTCATGGACGCTCAGGGACCTGGGCTCCAATCTAACCTGAAATTGAAAGCTGTGTGTTTGCACTGCCTTGATACCAAACCCAGCTCCTCTGGGGCTGCAGTTCATCTTTGTGACTTAGAGTAGTGTTACGCTCCTTTCCCTTTCCCTTTCCCTTTCCTCCCCTTCCCCTTCCCCTTCCCTTCCCTTCCCTTCCCTTCCCTTCCCTTCCCTTCCCTTCCCTTCCCTTCCCTTCCCTTCCCTTCCCTTCCCATACCATTTCTCCTTGTCATAGTTGCAGCCAGACATGCCCTATTCACCTCCCTCATACCTGCCCTCCCTGATTTCTACACATGCAACCCATCCCAGCTCCCTGGCAAAGGGGGATGCTTCACTGCTTGCCAGCTATCGTGGAATTCTTGTGTCAGTAAAGGGAAAGACCAGGCACAAACTAGTTTTTGTGTGTTGCAAGAAAAGACACCTGAGAACTGCTGAAAAGCACTATCTGTCAGCAAAAATCAGGGTAAACCCATCCATTAGAATTCCTTGCTTTCATCCAATATTACTGAAAACTACTCTCCTTTAGTTTGAAAGGAAATGCAGTGATTACCCCCTATTACAGACACCTACAAATATTTACTAAAATAATGTAGCAGAGGGATTTTTTTGAACGTTATCACAGCTTAAACATTCCCATTATTTTGAATATGGTTTGATTCTGCTTCAGGTACAGACGCTTTCCTGATGCTTCCTAGGCAGGAATCCAGATTGCTGATCCCCAGTTATGCCAACTCCCAGAGGGCTTGATCCATCACTGATGCAAGACAACAATGTAGTTCTGCATTTGACAGGATGCTGCCAGATGAGAAACAGCAGTGCCCAGGAAAAACAAAACACACAGGGATCCCTACTGTCTCGATATTGGGACTCTGACAGGACAGAGATGGAGAGCTCTGAAGCCTGGGTCCAAAGAGCTGGGTACTAGAACTACCTGGCTTTGCTTGGATCAGCTCAGTACCTCCAGGTGTCTCTCCCCTGTGACTGACAGCCCATGTCAGTGCTACAGTTTCATTTCTTTATGGTTCTTAAGAACCACCATTATTGGAGGGGGACTTGAGTGGCTTTTACCCTGTGAATGCTGTATGAATCTAAATGTCAAGCCAGAGATGTCATGCCAGCAACTAACAAGGGCTTTAGAATAAGCATTCCCTGGCCAGTACACAGTAAGCATGGTGTCATTCACCTAATCAGCTTTTGGGCTCCACAGCGCTAAGGCTGCATTC